TCTTTACTGTTTTTTATTTATTAATTTTTATTTTGCAAGAACATACAAATATACAAGAACAGCATTTGCTAACAAATAAGCAAAATTAGTATAAGTACCTTCTCAATATCCATATCTTTTTTTTTGTCGGGAAATGTAATCACCAGCAAAATTTTCACTCCATTCCTTTTGAAACACCCAGAGTGATTTCAAATAAGTGCAATAGCTTTTTGTCTTTTTTTCACATGTAAATAAAAAATAACAATCTCGTTGTTTCCTGTCTGTGGTTCCGGCTTAAATAAGGGCCAGTCCGGGCTTGCATTTCTTCAGATGCATTATTTTATTTGTCGCATTTTGTCCGCAGTAATTTGTTAATGACGCAGATCACCTTTGGTTGCAGGTGCGCATAATTTTCATTTCCATGCCGCAGATTCAATTTTGAGCGACATTCTTAATTTCTGTAGATTTCTTTGATCAACGTTATTAATTTTAAGGGTCAGGCCAAGAGAGAGTCTTGTCGGCCTGTGCCCTTTATTAGAGGTGCAGACGGCACCACTCAATTTAATTTATTTTCAATTTTTTATTTTTGAATTCAACTTTGTTGCAGTTGATAAGATAATTTTCTATTTTTCTGTATGCATGTTTCAAAATATAAAATAAAAACCTTCGCTTTTGGAAAGCGTATTCACTCAGCAAATTAAATTCGCAGAGGCAAATAATGAATGATATTATTGGTGACACCATTTTCTATGGAGCACATGTGTTTGCATTTCACGCTGACCTTCTGAGTGTAAATTTCATACACTCTGAATAATTTTCCCTAATTTTCTTTCCTATATGTCCTTCTCATAAGGACTTGCTACAAGTTCTAAATTCCACCTGGGTGGATTCAGGGCGACGGGCGAATTATCACAGACGCTTTTTTTCAGGCGCTAATAATTTTCGCAATTCCGAATTTTCAATGATGATGCAACCCTTTATTAAGTGTGGTTGCATTTTAACAATCGCAGATTCCTCGTGTGCTGAGTGGAGCTAAAAATCTCTTTTCGCGAATTTCACTTCTTTCGACGAGTTTCAGAAACAATTCTCTGGAGGAGAAAACTTGATGTGCAAAAGGCACCACGTTCTTGGCAAGAATTTGAAATCTGTTTGACACCGCAAAAATACTTATCAAAAGCGTAAAATAAATTTGATTAAAACTTGTGTGCAGTTTCCAATTAGACGAATCTCTAAATTTCCAGCTGCAATTCATATTTCGCTTGAGCTGTGCCAAACAAATTGAGCTGACGTGCCCCAAAATAATTAAATTATTCAATTTGTTTTAATTTCCAAAAGTGGAAATATCTGTGTTGATATTAATTTTAAGCTCCACCAGTTTTTAACATTGAATTGGCGAGCCTGGCAATAATTAATTTCCAAATTTTAAGCCCTTTATTCGCCCGCCGCCCTTTTCCGGTTCTCCGAGCGCCCCAAAGCGATCGCACGGGCTTTGGGTGCGCACGTCGGAGCGAGTCCCTCGAGGCTGCGTTTCGCCCAGCCGGGGCCCCGACGGCCCCCGGGCGGGAGCGGGACAACGTCGGAGTGGGCGCCGCGCCCCCGTTCCTTCCGCACTGTCGTCATCAGCCGAAAGGGGGTGACCGTGTTTGGCGAGTCACCCGGAATCCAACCCAAGGCCAACAACGGCGTCGTCGACCGACGGATCTCGCCGCGTCCAAGGTTGTAAGGCCGCACCACGTACTCGCGTCCGAGGCTCCTTCGCGGCGCTGCGCTCGGATTTACGTGCATGCCCGTCCATCCAGACGTTAAGTCTGACTCGTGCTGCTGCACCCAGTGCTGGCGACGCCCCACCACCAGCCCAAACACCACATGCCCCGGCACCACCACGTGCACCGTCACCATCACATGCACCACCACCAACCCTGCCACATGCACCATAGAAGCAGAAATAGAATTGGAAGAGTGATTTTTTTAAACTAATCATATAAATGAATTATTATTTCTCAGTCAAAGGCAAATAAATAAATAAATCATTTTTTAAATTTTTACCATTTTTGAAATCTAATTTTTATATATTATTATTTTTTAATAAATAATAATTTTATCAAATAATTAATTTTTTTTTTAAATTAGTTGTCTTTCTAAATCAATTATCTCTTTAATTAATTCTTTTTTCAAATTAGTGAAGGAAGTGTGGAGGAGTCGAACATACAGCCTGGCCGTGATTGTTGAAATAATTAAAAAGGAGATTCGCGCGTCAGGGTTGGGCCCTGACTTTGAGAAGCCCACCTTAGCCACTCAGGTCGGGCGGACTGCGGCGCGGGAACCGCATCCACTACTCGCAGTCCATGGACGCATTTTTATAATCACGGCTGAGAAAGACAAAAAAACTGTTCGGCCCCAATTAAAATTACGTGTGGTGAGAAGATTGAATTTAACACAAAATCTGCATTTAAATTGACAAAAAAAGAAAATAATATAAATAAAAAAATGTAAAAAATAAAAAATATATTCAAAGATCTATAAAAAAAGCAATAGAAAAATATGCATGCAAAACATATGAATGATGATAAAACAAATTGCATGCAAAAACAAAACCCAGCCGGCCCAAGTGATGCATTAAGCATGCTCGACGCCGCCGGTGCAGCGAGTCAGAAGTCGACTTTCGCGCGGATCGGGTTCCACCTCCTCGGCGGCGCACAACCTGCACAAGTCATCCGCTAGTGCAATGGAATCCTCGGGGTTTTCTGAGGCCGCCTCCTCTTCCGCCAGATCCAATGCCGGCCTCAGCCCATCAGCCAAGGGTTGTAAACCGACCACCCCGCCAGTCGCCCCCGATCGCCTCGTCCCACAGAAGGGTGCGGGCGCCGCGTCCACTCTGTCGCCGCCCCCCTCCCGCCCGGGGGTCGTCGGGTCCCCGGCTGGACTCGCACCGAGACCTTCCCAGGGTCGTCGTACACGACGACCCTGGAAATGTCCAGGTGCCCGCCCCGAGTTACCCGGTCAAACGTGCGCGGAGTCGAGGCCCTTTGAGGGCGCGCCGAAGGCGAAGAGAATGTCAGAAACAAACACGGGGTCGCTACCCCTTCGAATTGATGAAAAATTTAAAATCTAATGCTGAAGAAAACAGAAAAAACGAAGGAATTTTTTTGGGCTAGGCGGCCGAATGAAAGGCAAGACTGCGGCCCTGTCTTCGAAAAGGAACTCCTCGAAGACACGGCCGCAATCTTGCCTTTCATTCGGCCGCCGAGCCAAAAAATATTACTTTTCATCTGTTTTCTTCAGCGAAAGATTTTTTTAATTTTTTTTTTCGCAGTTCTTTGGATGAAGCCTCTCGATTAAGGCAGAGATCGCCTTGTGATTCACCAATCAACCAAATAATTATGCAGCTGAATTGGTAAAAAGTGAATTTCCATTTTAGAGGAACAAATGAAATACTAATCTCAGATTTTTCGACGCACGTTTAGGGTACTTATCTTGGCGCTCTCGTGTGGATCAATAAGTATTTGATAGAAAATTGGAGCCATAAAGTACTCAAAAAAGAGGATTTAGAGAGAGTATTCATTGATGACCGAAATCGTTGAAGTCCTCTGAGTCACTCCCCCACTTCTTGTGCCAAAGTTCGTATTAATAATTATTAAAATAATAATAATTATTTGATTAATAATAATTAAAATAACAATAATTGATTAATTCTTATTGAAATAATAATAATAAATTAATTACTAATTATTTGTATAAAAATAATTAATCAGTTCATAATTATTTAAATAATAATAATTAAACAATGAAATAGGTGTTCGTATCGAACGCAAATATTTCTCATCTCCAGGTGGAGAATTGCCCAAAATCGAATGAGCTGATGAGCCCTCAGCGCATATCGGGCAATTTCAGATTTTCGCAGTCCTTCTATTTTCGCTGTTCAATATTTATTTATTTCTGACATTCCGACGCCTTTTTTCGCCCAAGCCGCGTCTTCGAAGGGACCTTGGCACCGCCGGCCTCTGCGGGCGCCACTGCGAGTGGCGCCCGCGGGGGTCAGCAGCGCCAAGTCCTCTGCAGGGTTGCACGCTCAACACGGTGGGTCCGACGCACCCCTCTGACCTGGGCCCGCGTGACCCCCTTCACCCCGCCAGGATGTTCGCTCAGGGAATCTCCAAAGCCGGAGATTCCGAGAGCGAGCGTCGAGGCGCGACAAAGAGGGCAGGCCCAAGTCAAAGGGATGTCAGGCCCACCAAGTTGAGCGCGCAACCCTGCGGAGACCCAGACTGCCCAAACGAGACGTCCGAGAAGGGAGGGTGCCCTTTTCCGAACACCTCCTCCGCACGTCTCTGGCCCTACCGATCGTTTTGGGGACATGGGGCGCCTGGTCACTTTTCACGACGCAACCCGCTCAACCTCGCTATTTGTTTTAACCGCAAGTGCCAATTTCGCTGGGGCACATTTCGTCGCGATTAATTTGAGTTCGAGCGGCTCTTCACAGACCCAGAGTGTCCAACCTTTTCCAATGCAGCCAAGTAGGTCATTGTTGAATAATTGAAGCAGCATTTCATGTTCCGTAGAAATCATTTTATGGACGTTTTTTACTGATGTGTTTATTTTTCCTCATTTGAGGTGCCGCTCTATTGGACGAATCAGGATAAAAAAAATCAACGGTTCTCGCCATTCAAATCAGGTCTTGTAAGCCTCGCAGATTTCCTTACATCGAGTTGGACACTCTGGCTAAATTTGTTATAATTTTTTATCTATTCGAAGCAAAATAAAACAGAAACGCTCGCAGGTGGCCAAGTTAGGCGATGCAGTGAAAAATCACCGCAAGTGATTCCTCAAAAATATCACAGTCAGTATCACAAGTTTATCTCACTTTCCTGTTGCACTTCGGAATAAATATCCAACAGAATGTATCGCAGGTTCCCTCTCGGCAGGAGAGAGAAAAATATCACAGCCGTTTGCTTTGGATTTTTTGCTGCTCCGTTTGCAGAGCGCAGATTCTTCTGCTGCAGATTTTCCATTTTTTTTAAAAGTGACCAGGCGACCAGGAGAACCGTCCCTAATTTCCTTTCCTAATTGCCTAATTTTCCTACTGTGGCCCGGACCAGCTCCGTGACGACGTCTGCCGGAACCAACAACTTGCAGTTTTTGACTAGTTATATTAACAATGAGCATTTTTTCATTCGCACCCGGATTTCTACATTGACCGCGACACCTCTGCCTCCTGTTCTCAATAATCGCAAATGACAAAGTCATTTTCACGACGACGTCGAATTTTCTTATTTGTGGAATTTCGGATATAACTAATTTCAAGTTCCAATTCGCACCGTTTGCACCGTTTCAGTGCCCTTTTCAAAACATCAGTTTCTTTTGTCCTGCACTATTTGCAAAAACGTCTTGCAAGCAAATAATTGAGTTTTCACACTACTAAAAATTACTTTTCAGATCGCAGTAGATGAATGAGCCTTAGCAATATGTCTGCAAAGATGCTCAGTTTGTTGGCCATTATGGCTGGAAGGCAGAGGCGCGCTAAAATTAAGACGAACAAGATTTTGGTCTCACTATCAGTTAACCCTTGGTCGTTGAGCTTGTTTTCGCAATTTGAGTGTTTTCGTGGCAGAGTTTGCAGAGGTCGCGGTGTAATTCATACACCTTTACTATTAAATTGCAAGCAGTGCATTCACCGCGCAAATAATCTTCAGTGATAATTTCAATTTCTCAAGTTTTATTCTATTGTTTTTCTTTTCTAAAAACCGGCAACGAGCAATTCATTCAATTTTTCTGTTTTTATTTTTTTATTTAATGATTATTTTCTCTTTGTAGAGTTGATGTTCTTGAAATAAAGAGACAATCCTGAACATCTGTTATTTCTTGGAGCTTCTAGATAATTGCTCCTAACTATGACAAATACCAGCTCTAACATTCATGCTAATTTTTCTTTTTATAGCGGTGATTATTTCAATCGCTCGAGTTAAATTCTATTTTTCTTTTCTTAAATCAGGCAACAAGCAATTCATCGAATATTTGTATATTTTATGTAATTTGATGATTTTTCTTTTCTTCATAGAATTCTTGACATAAAATAGAGACTTTCCTGAACATGTGGTATTTTTTTCGAGCTTGTAGATAATTGCTCCAAACTAAAAAAAATCACCATGCTAATTTTTCTTTTAACAATAATTATTTGGGAGTTTGATTTCTTGACAAAGATTGTAATATTAAATCGCATCACTATCCATTTTTTTCCTGGATCACAAAACAGCGAATGAACTGAATATTCAGTTTGTTTGTCCGAATATAAATTTTGCTTTCAGGCTTCCTTCCAATCAGTTTCGGTCGGTAAATTCTGTCGCAAATCACTTGTACTTGCAGGTTTAATCAAAAATTTTATATTACTGATATTTCTTGATTTGGGCACGACTTACAAAAAGATTTAATTTTTTTATTCTTTTCAATAAAACTTTAAAAAAAATTTATTATCTCTCAAAAAGAAGATACTATAACACATGTCTGGTGCCGTTTGAACCAAATTTGGTGACACAACAACTCTGATTCCTAATTAATGCATTCTATTTTCTATTTTTGCATTAAAATTTCTTTACTGGCTCAAGAGCCTGAGTAGAAAGCGCATTATTTCAACGCTTGAAACGCTTCTATCGAGGTCACCGTACGTGCGAGTCCGAAAAAGCACTTTCGGACGAATTCCTTTCAGATGAAAGGCGATTCACCTTCTTTCGGTCAAAATTCTGTTTTCATTAAAAACATTCCATTCTCGGTAGTCAAGCATTGATTGCTGATTCAGAAATTCATTATCAATCGTCAAGTATATCGCAGTTCGTCAGATTTTGCTCGCAGTATTCACGTTGATTTTTGTCAAATATTTTCTCATGTCACGTTATTTCTTTGAATTATTTGGCGCAGCTACTTTACTGCCCAGGCACCTTTATTTAAATATTTGTCAGAATTAACTGAATTAAGAGCATTTCATTATTTCTACTCTCGTTTGTAAAGCAGATTTACATTAATTTAAATTAAAAAAACGACTTCAATATCCCAGCAAATTCAAGAGAGTTGAATATAATTAGCAAAAGAGTGCCGAGCGTCTCTCGGTTGTCCATTGGCCGCTTTGCATCAAACGTGGGCCCTACGATCAAGGCAAGCGCGGCAAATTTCCAACTGAGGCAAAGGTAATGATTGTTTTTTCTCCCACCTTCCCTCAGAGTTGTTTGTCCCTCGACCTATCATTTATGAAATCAAACTCCACTCATTGTAAACTTTGAAAACGATTGACCTCTGCAAAACTGCAAACAGGCGGGCTGCAAATACGCCAAATACACAAAATCAATTTTCCTTTGAGTGACCATAATAATTTATGAAATTTGTTTCTATTTGTTTTATTCCATTTTCGACTGCATGATCACGCAGCAAGTCCCAGTGGAGGCCGAATTATTATTATTATTATTATAATTTTATTTTTTATAAAATATCGCATTCCTTAATAAACAAATATTTAATTTTTTTAACACAAACTAGCCGAGCATAAACAGAAGAATTAACTTTTTTCAATGGCAATCAAGTTATCGTTGCAAATTAACAATAAATTACTCTACTTTATAAGCAAATGAGTATACAGAATTTGTTAGTTTAAATCTTAGTTTAAAATTTCTCTAATAAAGGAGAGCTTTTTGACTATTCCGAATGTGGATTTGCTCTTTAAACAAATCATCAAAAGATACAGAGGCTTAATAAAAATCTTCCTTAGTCTTGTTCCCATGCCATACTAAATTATATTAATTTATTCAAATTAAGCCTGTTTATGGTTCGCCTAAACTATAAGCTGCAGTGGTATTTGGTGCAATTTGCAAAAAAAATCATTAAAAAAGCACCGTATTGAACTATCGAGTCTTGATAAAAACTAAACGCAAAAAGCCACTCGCTTATGTCTCTTCTCTTTCAAGCCGCAATGAGAAAAAATTATCAAGAGCAAAAATGATCAATATAAATCAAATACATAAAAACAAGTATGCTACGGACGCGACTCGACGCAAAAACCACACGACCTTTATGAAAATTTTTAAAGTTTTGGATCGGCATTTTAGATTTTGCACGATATCATAAAGCTGTTAGACTTAAGTCATAATCAGAAGCCCCACTTAAACCTAGTTGCAAGTGACGGAAGGGAAGTTAAATTAAAATCGCCGTGACGCCAACGGAATTGTGTAGAGCAATTTTAACAAACCGATTTTAACAGCTTTTTTTCAGATTTTTTGAATTGTTTGGGATGTAAAATGGATTTGAATAAACTACGTTAAACGATATTCATGAAAAAATTAAAAAAAAAAAATTGAGTTCATAGAGGGAGCACCCATCTGGGTGGGTAAGCTTAGTGAAGAATAGGCAGATTCAGGACGATTGACTAAAAATATCGGAGAAAAATATTAGTTCTCGATAAAAATGCGATAAAATAAAATGATCCGCGCAAAACAGACGAGTGCTGAAAGTAAAAAATTTTAGTTGGTACTCACCAAGGGTGGGCGCCTCAGTTGGTGTAGACGAAGGTGGCAAGGTTGGCGTTTCTCTCAAGGCAGTGGTGGATTTTTGCCTTTGCCACCATCGCTGCAGCCCTCGTGGATCTGCGAGGTCCAAGCACAGGTGGAGCTCTCCAGTCTCGCCTTGGACGCCTCGCTACCAGTGGGTTTGCTGCAGGAGCAGGGGCCGGAGCCGCCACAGGTTGAGCTGCTGGGATGGCAGCAGCAAGAGGGGCAACCACTGGCCGAGTAGGGATGGCAGCAGCAGCAGGAGCAACCACTGGTGGAGGGATGACCGCAGGCGGTGCCAAGTTAGCTGAGGAAGCGGCCAAAGCTCCAGGGGTGGCGATCTTGAAGAGTTGATGAATTTTGTCCGTAGCTGACTGGGCAGCTGCCCTTGTAGATCTGCGAGTGTAGGGCATGGCCTGCTGCCTCGCCTTACGGTTCTTTTTCAGCGTAGGGGCGACCAAAGGAGCCACCAGCGCGGCCACGGGGGCGACCGGCGCGGCCACTGGGGCGACCGGCGCGGCCACAGCGGCAACCGGCGCGGCCACGGGGGCGACCGGCGCGGCCACGGGGGCGATTGGCGCGGCCACTGGGGCGACCGGCGCGGCCACGGGGGCGATTGGCGCGGCCAAGGGGGCGACCGGCGCGGCCACTGGGGCGATTGGCGCGTCCAAGGGGGCGACCGGCGCGGCCACTGGGGCAACCGGCGCGGCCACGGGGGCGACCGGCGCGGCCACGGGGGCGATTGGCGCGGCCACTGGGGCGACCGGCGCGGCCACGGGGGCGATTGGCGCGGCCAAGGGGGCGACCGGCGCGGCCACTGGGGCGACCGGTGCGGCCGAAGGAGCGGGAAGCGTTGCGGCCATGATAAGAGCAGGAGCAGCTTGTAGGTAAGGCGCAGCAGCGTTGGCAGCAGCAGCGACAGCAGCCACAATCTTCGGTGACAGCGCTGCAGACATATTTTCCATAGAAGGCTGGTCAGAGGCAGCAGAGGATGCTGGTGAAAGGGCTTCATCATCATCATCGTCGTCAGGGAAGTCTTGGACTGACGGAGACAGGGCAGGTGACCATGTTGCGGGATGAGAGGCTGGTGACGCTGAACCTGAAGGAGATGATCTCGTAGATGCAGGGGATGCATCAGCAGCTGCAGCAAAGTCGTCCTGGGGGACCGCATCAGCCAAGGCTGCCTGAGGAGCGTTTGCAGGGGCGTTGGTGGGGTCCATAGGCCGAGCAGACGGTGCAAGGGTAACCTCATGAACCACATTGAAGTTTGCACCAATAAGATGCTTTGCAACTTTGGAGGCCCATCTTGTAGACGACCTGCTTCCTTTGTTGAGTGGTTCCGTCGCCATTCTCGGCTGCTTCCGTGTCCTCTTGACCTTAGTGGGCTCGAAGCGCGCAACCTTACAAGGTTTGGGCCGGTCACGGAACTCTTTCCACAGAGCCTTCCTTTTCCGGTTCATCTACAATTATTAAAAATAAAATTATTTAGAAAAACCCAATCCTCTCAATCCGAATCAATTGAAGATTTTGTCAACAGCAAAACTTTTCACTATTAATTGCTAACTCCTTTCCAACCCAATCCTTATTCTCCAACCATGGGAAAAACTAGTCTTTAATGATAGGACCAAGAATTAACATCTTTATCCCAAACTATTAATAATATTTTGGCCCTCCGTAAACTTTAAAAAAAATTGTCGGTCAATAAATAATATTTGACGAGTTTTTCTCTAACATATATGAAAAAAAATCTACCTTGCAGAAAATATTTTTGTGGTACATACCACCAGGTGGTATTCAAGTACCACATCGTTTTAAAAGTTTACCACATTTTGCGTTACGACGCACCACTAAGTCAAAGGGAGTACCACGAGAAATAGGGCAAGTACCACGAGGTGGTACTATTTTAACACGAACGGCGCTCGTGCTACTATCGTGGACTCATCTCTTGTCGCAATCAAAAAATTTGTGAAACGTGCCAAGTTCTTTGAGCGCAACAGGCGCACTGTTAGCTGCTTCTGCTTAATATATATTTAATTTTCTCCGCTCTCAAAATACACATTAAATTTTCATTAAAATTAAATTTTTTTTGTTTTATTCAAAATCAATGCAATATTGATTTAATAAAATAATTAAATTTTTTCCAAAAAATGACAAAGTAAATTTTTGTAAATTAAAAAATTCAAAAATTAAATCAAGGGCAATAAATAATTATTTTATTTTATATAGAATGTTGCTGGTAAGTCTTGATCACTAATTGAGGAGATAGTTTTAAAAAAATGATTAAATTATCACTTTCCACCTTTGAAGGTTCTCAAAATATGTGTACAAAAAGCTGCACATATTGTTCACAGCGCATTTTTCTGAAGCAGATGGCGTGTTTGTGAAGTTGTTTCCTACCCTGCAAGCAACCTGACCTTCCCCACCTAACCTGAGCCAACGGAAGTTTTTAGTGAGAGCAATAGGGATGCACAAATGGCGATGTCGCTCCGTGCGCTCTTCAATATTTTGCGCTTATTGTGCCAGTAAATCGCGTTCAAGACTTTAGATAATTGTGTGATTTGTTAGCAATAGTTCACTTTCAACGCGGAACTGCATCTGGCCGACGGAAATGCTGAACTTTTAGAGTTATCGGCGCCGACAGTTGCACGTTTACAAAAATGTGTTCCTCCGACACAGGCAGACACCAGCAAAAAAGCAACCAAAGCTGAGCAGCGCGGCACTGACGCTTTTTCCAACAAGGTAATTATTATTATTTTTAATATTAAAATCATTTTTAATTAAATAACACTAAGTATTGGATTAGCTGTACATGAATTTTTTTTAACCACACGCTCTCTTCCACATTAAATATAATTAAAAATGGAAATTTTTATTTGCTTTCAGGAACTACCAAACGGAGACTTCAGCGGGATGAGGCCAAGGAAAAAAACGTATTTTGAATGAAAAACAATTAATTAAGCATTATTTAATTTTATTAACAAAACTGTGGCTAAATTCTTATTTGATTTCTACATTTAAATAATTTATCAAATTTTGATATTAAACTACTCCACGATATTGCCTCAGGGTATTAAAGATTGTTTAATTTTGTGTTTCAGATTGCCTCAAAAAAGGAGAAATTTCTTTGTGGACCCGCATTTGCCTTTTTTTTTGTAAAATCTGGTGTCATTATTTTTAAACAAGAGACCGGAAAGTGATTTGAACTTATGAAGCTCATATTTTATTTAAAAGAAGTCATTTATGTGATTCAAATTTTATATTCATCATGAGGTAATAAATTTTAAATATTTCAAATTTGAATTGTGTCATTTTTTTACCGATATTTTGATTTTTTTTTATATAGTCTTACCGGTATTTCATGATTCGTGGTACACTGATATTTGTGGTACTCGCTCGTGGTACCCCATTCGTTGTACAGCAGTACCACCTCGTGGTGGGCCAATTCTGTGTTACCAGTACAACGAAACGGAGTACCACTTGTGTTAAAATTTGGTGGTACTATTTTCAGTAGATAATTATTTCAAAATATCAGAGAAACCAATGATGCGATGAGAGATTTTTAATATTAAAATACAAATATTAAATAATTAAACATTTTAAAATTGCTCAAAAAATCACTCAAATTCTGTTTTTTCTTCCAGTCATTAGAAAAAGATTATTGAAAATTATTCCATTGTCTCGGAAGGAACACCGAATTTCTGGATAATAAGGTACTATGACAACAAAGAATTTTGCTAAACCTTCCTTGGCTAAAAAGACCCCATCCATCATAATAAGTCCCAAAAGATAAGAAAATTTTAATCGTCAAATTTTAAAAATGATTTCCCTTTTTAAATCAGAAAATTAAAGATCTGATTTTGAAATTTAAAACTGCAGGGATGATAGAATTTTTGGTCCCAGAAAAATTTAGGTCCGGTCCCAGGGCTCACTTTTCAGCGCCCACAAAACATAATATAGAAGGTACTTACTTGGGACACGGGCATCTCAGGAGTCTCGTCGTCAGACAACCACAAGTCGATCTCCCCCTCATCGCTGCTTGTCTCGGACGGCACGCACTCTGGGACCAGTGGGGGACCGTCAATCTTCGAAGGCCTCTCCCTACTGCAGGCAATGTAGATGTTTAGAAGCTTGCCTAGCAAGTAGTGGTCCACATTGAGGATCGTTTCTTCGATGTGAGAATTGACATCATACACGAAAATCTCAAAGGGACTCGGGGAGGCACTCTGCAAAAAAACACAGGAATGTGAATAAATACATCAATTTAAAAAGAACAAAATCTACTCACTCTTGGTGTGAAGAAGTTGATTTTGCGGTTGGAGATGGGAGAGTTGTATCTATCTTTACGCATCATCTGAAATGAAAAATTACACAGTTGGTCAGTGAAATATTTTATTTTTGAACACCAGTTTGCTGCTGAATTGTTTGTTTAGGTAATGTATAATATGCAGCAGGCTAGGTGGGTGTGGATGAAAATGAATTGGGAATCAACCTGCTACTATGGGTCCAAGTGGAAGGTATTTTGTAGTTATTAAAAAAATTAAATTGTTTAAAATGAGGCTGTGTTCATTGGTTTCTGTTGTGATGTGAAGAGAGCATGAATTTCATTAAAATTCTTAAGGATACTGGAAATTATCATTGAAATAGATGGTTACTAACAATCAAATTGCAAAGCAATTAAAAGGAATGGAGAGCACATGGAAAGAAAATGAGTGGTGCGAATTACTCTGCTGGACCTCATGAGAAAACTCCATTTTACTTTTCCTCTGTATCGAATCAACAGTAAAGCAGTGAATCAAACTGCAGGTGCTATAATTTGGAAAGGTTGATCAGCAGTATAATTTGGAAAATAATTCTTTGTTATCCACCACTGGAAACGGTGAGAGTCTAGTCTTTATTGACATTCCTGCGAAATTCATTACTGCGGAAATGATTTGAGAAAAAAAATATAAAAATCATTATTTTCAGTGACAAAACAGTGAAATTGGAGGAGAGCAAGCTAATAAGATGGAAATTATAAATTATGAACAGAACTTCTGCGAATACTCAAGCAGGCAATGTATTTAGACAATGCAGAGTAGTGAGGCCGTAAAGTTAAAATCACTGTTGCGAATTTGCTCTTTACTGGTTTTAAATTTTTTTCTCAGAAACTGAAAGTAAATTACTATTCATCATTTTCTTGCTCATATTAAGATTTCTTGTTGAGAATTTAAATAAATAGTTCGACACTTCAGTCTTCATGTCGACTTTGGGATGTGATTTACCTTCTGCTAGTAAAATAAAAAGAGGTATCAAGATCTGCAATTCTGAAACCGAAGTCTTGTTTACATCAGTATAAACCGGAAGAATAGAAAAAATTTACGCAAGAAGTAAATATAACTCTTATAGTGAAAATGCCTGTGTTCTTGAGATACAAATCAACCGTAGTGTTTTGAAAACTTATTCTTGAAGCTGTGATCCTCGGATTGAAATAATTTACTGTATACTTCACTCAATGCTTATGCAGACTGAAGATTTGACAAAATTTTATTTCAGAGTTTTTTCAGCAGCTAATATAAAATCAGCATTAAAATTGACTTAGATTAGCAGATCTCACAGATCACGCGTTAACTGACTTGGGGTTCAAGGCAGAGTAACTGGAGAGAAACTTTCGTAGTATGGGTAAGATTACTTACGGTGTTGATGATGAATTTTTTCAGGCCTGCTACGTCCGTTATCAATGCCTCAGCCTTGGCACACTCAGTTTTATAAAGAGCTTTGACCACCAAATCCCTCTGTTGAATAAAAAAGGAGAACAGTAAAATTTTAGTCAAAAATGAAAGTTAAACAAATATCAATTTTAAGGAAACAAAGCACTTTATTAAGGGTTTGTCAGAAACAACCCAACAAAAAAGGCAAAGGTCGACCAAATTTGATAAAATTTGGTTTTATCACTGGCCATTTGCGATGTTGCTACAACATATAACAAGATATTAAAATTCGGAAATAAGGTTGGCTTTAGGATTTAATAATTAAAGCTTTTCTGCTGCGTGCAGAAAAATTAGGAAGAGGTCAAACCCAAGTTCAGGGTAGTTAAATTTTATGAATTGGAATTTTCTGAGTAAAATTTCTGCTTTTTTCCAAAACCATCCAAATTAAGTTGCCCGACTAAGGAATAACTCTTTTCCAAACTCACTGACTCAAAATACGGACAGTAAATGAAAAGTTTTTGTGAGAATATTAAATTGAATTATAAATTCAAATTATTTACTAATAATCGTCTGAGTGGATGCAAAAAGCTGGTGTTTTCATTTATAAGCAACGTACATAATTAATATTCCACATGGCATTTAAAATTTTATTATCAAAAATATTCCTGCTGAGGTGTTTGCATTCTGACCATGAAAATAAACAATATAAAAAAAAGCAAAAACGCATATTATGGCCCCAGTGACATCCGAAGGATGACCTTTACCTTGGAAGTGACCATGAAATCAAGTTGTGCGCAAAAAATCAGCGAGCTCAGAACAATCAGCTAGCTCTTGATAGAACAATTCACCTTCAAATAACTTTCAATTCACGCAGCTTTGCTTTTGCTTGTTTATCATTTTCCAAACCAAAAACTACTTTAGAGTGGATGCTGTGTTGGTTTGACATCAACATCACAAAACATGACAAAATAAAAAAAATAAAATGAATGTTGAGATATAATATTTTAACATCCACCATCGCAACCATTGGTATTCAGTGTTATCATGAGGCTAATTTTTCTTGTTGTTGTGATGCTTAATTTGCTGCACGAGTAATTAAGTGTATTGATTGTCCAGTAAATCTTATTACTATACATTACAAACTGATATTTCCCATGCATCTCACTTATTTTCAGCCGTCGGGGCTTGAAAAATAATTATGATTTTTTTAAAGCAAATAAATTTTGAAATCTAACAAACTACAAAATTGACGAGTTTTTTATGGGAAAAAAAAAGTTTTTACAAGAGTTTTTAAAAACAGTGTGCAGCAAGATAAAAAATTTGATTCTCCTGTTGGCTGCTGCATTGGAAACTCAAAATTTACTTTTAATGCGTATTATATATCATAATAGGGCACCAGCTTTGAATGAATGAAATTGCCAACTGAATATATTTTGAAGGGCGCAGGCAGCTTAACTTAGGCACAATAAAAGGTTCCTTAAAAATTTGACTCTTACCGTTGCTTCCTCATACTTGTCAGATAGATCGAAGAGGACTTCATGGAGTGGCTTGGAACGCCAGCCCTGTCCACCGGCTGCGACATCAAGGCACTCCATTCCGATGTCCTTCGCTAGATCACTGCTAAACTGGAACTCGGGGCAGCTTCCATATCTCTCGACGATGGTCCTGAGCACCTCGACGGCCACCGAGGCTTGCAGCGGGGCGCAGAACGGAGGTGTAGGAACTAAATAGAGCCATCTGATGAGAAGTGCCACTTTGGTGGCGGGGTCGAGGACCAGAAGGCAAGCGAGCTCCAGCAAGGCCCTCCCTTGACGGCGGGTTTCGGCGTCGCAGCTCTTGAACTTGTCAGTCATTCTTCTGAACAGTTCAATCAGGCAAACATCCCGCCAGGCGGCAGTGGGGGCCTGAGAGAGCAAATAAGTATTACTTATGAACAATTTATTGACGCTAAATTATAATTTACCTCAGCATACAAAAGGGGGATGCTCACGAGAAGCTCGTCGTGGGACATGTTGCTGAATAAATCAGTGAGGTTTGGTTGCGCCATGGTTTCAACCTCTGCAAAACAAACAAAAATCACGTTTAAAAGTTTGTCATGGATTTAAAAATTTTATTTTGCACATTGGTCACTCTTAATAATCAATACAAATAATATAGTTGCTCAACAATTGATAAACTTCTAATCTATTTTAAATACCAATTGAAATAGCAAATTAATCATGAGACTTAATTTCATCAACGTGCAGGCACTTTCGATTGTGCAATTAAATTTTCAGCCACCGTTAATTAAATCTCGTCAAAACTCAGACAACTACTGGCACTAACGTTTTTCATCAAAATCTTAAATTTGATTTCAAGAATGAATGCAGAAATCAATTCAATTAATCTTCCAGAAAGACGTCAGGCATATAAAATGCGGAACCAAAGCCGCTGAAATTTGGATTGGCGAGATCGAGTGCAGCGGCCGAGAACTGCGAAAATAATCGGTAATTCTCTCAAGACATAATTATGGGCGTTTTGGCTTAAATACTTGGATTTCTATTAAGGTGACTTGAAAGGCATTTTTTTGAACCATGAAAATCAATCCGCAGCCGCTAGGGTCAAATTAAATGCCAACTGTGTGCTGGGCTGTTGGCCGACCCGGTTTGGTCAGAAAACGTTTTGCCGAAACGCGATCTGCCTCGGAAGTGCTTTTGTGCAATGAAAAGGGCAAGAGGCATATATTTTTTAAGGGCGCTTCTGAGTCGCATTTGGTAAAAAAAACGATAAATACGCAAAAATTCAGTAAAATATGATTAAAAATAAACATAAAATTTACGAAAATTAACATTTTAACTTAAATTAAATAAGCTATAATTTCAATATAATTTATCTTTTTGCTAAAAGGTAGTCCACGATGGTTAGAGGAAACGAAATTCGCAGAGCCAACACAACTTGTCTCGGGAACTGGACTTCACTGACACAAAATTAGTACTAACAGACTCAGTTTTGCGGAGTCTATTAGACCTGGCGCTGCACCGAACTGCACTCAGAGAACAAAATAGCGATTAAATCGAATTAGACTCGGGTGCAGTCGCTGCGGCCAAAGCGGGTCTTGTCTGTCTACGACTCCTTCCGCGGCGGCCGCCGTTTTAGCCGGCTGCTGTCGGTCGACAATTCGGCCTATTTAGGACCGAATCTCAACCTACATCTTCGCCCCAGCAACACATGATGCACTTGTAAACAGTGAGATTCAAAACCAATCGTAATTGGGCTTGCTCGATTTTTTGTGTGTGCAAACACGAGATGAGTAGTGCAACCTGACGAAGTGCCCAGTGAAATTAAATAATAAAAACAAATTCACCTTCTGATTTGACGACCTTTTTCATTGTTGGGGGCCTAAAAGAGGATGCAATTTCGGGATGAGGAATCTAGTGGTGCGTCATTAATTTTGTGATCCGAGCGGCCGTTGTTGCGCTATGAGCATAAATACGCGCGCCTCTGCTTTACGCTTCACTCAACTCTCTCACTCGACGGCTGCACTCGCGGCGCATTTGGACGTTTGCGCGAATTTAATAATTTATTACTTGGCAACCAAGTAAATTAAACAATCTTATTTTTTATAATTATTTGTCTGGAGCAAAGTTATTGACGATTCCGCGAGAATTTTTTTGCTTTAATTTTTAAATTAAAGGGAAAAATCTAAAAAAAAAATATAAAACCTTGCAGAAAATTGTAGCTAGTTAAATTCACTACAATTTATTTTGCAGACTTTTGGGTCTAAAAATATTTTCTGAATTTACCAACGAGCTGACCAAAGTCGAAACATTACTTTTTCTCATTGGAAAAAGTTTTTGTAGTTTTTTTCTGAGATCTCAAATTCCATCAAAATAGGTTGAATCGCTTTGAAGTAAGCGCATATGGACTAAAAACATGCTACTCGGCCTCAACGACATCCATTTAACTCTGTAATTTAAAATCGGCTCAACATATTTTGATGAAAATTGAGTTTAAAGATCAAAATTAAATTTTCAATCGATTGGCTATCTCAAAAATAATCAAAAAAACTTTTTTAATAAAAGACAAAAGTAATATTTAGACTTTGGTTATCCCATTGGTAAATAAAAATAATAATTTTAGAACCAAAAGTCTACGAAATAAATTGTAGTGAATTTTACTGGCTACTATTTTCTGCAAGATTTTTTATTTTTTCAAATTTTCCCCTTTAAATTAAAAACTAAAGCAACGAAATTCTCGCGGAAACGTCAATAGCTTTGCTCCAGATAAATAATTTTTAAAAAATTATTAAAAAAAATAAAAAATTAAATTAATTAATGTACTTGGCTACCAATACTGAGAATATGAAAGATTTTTCTCGACGCTAAGTAATAAATTATTAAATTCGCGCAAACGTCCAAATGCGCCGCGAGTGCAGCCGTCGAGTGAGAGTTGAGTGAAGCGTAAAGCAGAGGCGCGCGTATTTATGCTCATAGCGCAACAACGGCCGCTCGGATCACAAAATTAATGACGCACCACTAGATTCCTCATCCCGAAATTGCATCCTCTTTTAGGCCCCCAACAATGAAAAAGGTCGTCAAATCAGAAGGTGAATTTGTTTTTGTTATTTAATTTCACTGGGCACTTTGTCAGGTTGCACTACTCATCTCGTGTTTGCACACACAAAAAATCGAGCAAGCCCAATTACGATTGGTTTAGACTGCCACTGTTTACAAGTGCATCATGTGTTGCTGGGGCGAAGATTTAGGTCGAGATTCGGTCCTAAATAGGCAGAATTGTCGACCGACAGAAGCCGGCAAAAACGGCGGCCGCCGCGGAAGGAGTCGCAGACAGACCCGCTTTGTACACAGCGACTGCAGCCGAGTCTAATTCGATTTAATCACTATTTTGTTCCCTGCAGCGCCGGGTCTAACTTCGTGTCAGTGTTTGTTCTGGTCGCTTGAAACGTCAAACATTGATCAAGGCTTTGACGGTTTTTTTTTAATTTACTGCGTATTAATGATTTGGCTTGAGAAATATATTAAAAAAGAAGTTTATAACAAAGATTAAAAAAAGGCGAAAAATTAATTTCAGATGAATAATTTAATTAATATGATAATGAATTAAGCAAAAATTGTTCTGTTATCAGCATGTTCGCCTGACTTGGCGTTTTTTATCGTAAGTTAATTCGAGTAAATCGGACTTATCTATGAACCTCCTCTCGTATGCCAATTAGCTTTTTCTACAAAGCAGCTAGAGCTATATATTTGGTTGAAACTTGAATACGATGGCCTAAAATTAAATTTCCATTCGATTGGCTATCTTAGCAATAGTAGTATTAAAATTTTGATCATTTTTGGATTCCTCGCAAAAAATCAGCAACAAAGGCAATCTCTGAATGAGGAGCGATCCTCAGGGTAAGCCGTGAAAAAAGAAAAAAAAATCGAGGTGTTTTCGGTGAATTTTTTCAGGGTTAAAAAGGCACAAATCGGAGTTACATTTGGTCGGAAAATTTAAAAGTGCCCGCTCTATAAACGGGTTTGAAATTTCAGACCGCCGCCTTTGGATAGCGGCCGAAATTTATTTTCCACTCGCCACAGTATTCCTCGCGCGCGGCCGCCCGACACGTTAATTTCGCCCTTTAAGGAAAATGCGTTCAAATTTCGTTAACGGCTTATCGGTTTATTCGCTCTTTATACAATTCAATTCCCTCGTTGAGACAACGTATGGACCCTCAAATTTGTTCGTCAAAAATTTTCGATACAAGTATTAAAATAACAAAATTCTCGTGGAAACGATACCAACTTTGATCAAGATAAATCTAATTTTTTTTTTTTTAAATAAAAAAGGAAAAGTAATTAAATTTATAATGATGATTGTAATGATTGCTGAAAATTTGAAATTTTTAATTGTTGTGAGCGGCAAAGAGCTTAATGCCATCCGCATTAATTAATGTTTGTATCACAACACGTGAGCTCAAAATTATTTTAATAAAAAAATCCGCACTATATCCAGTAAATTAAATTGGGCGCGCTTTGTTGAAGAAGCGAAACGTTTTAAGCTCTTTTCTGCAAATGATGTTCGTCCATTTGGATCCAAATCGAGATTGAGCGAGCTGCATTTTTATTTTGACGAAAGCAAAATTAGGTCACGCGCAGTCACATTTAACAGTAAGCATCAGTTGATTATGTACTGAATTTGCATACAACATGCTAATTAGTTGCATCACTTTGTTCGTCTTTCGCAATTTAAAAAATTAAAAAAAGCGCGTCGACAAAAAGCTCAAACACCAGGGTTCGTAATTTATAATAATGCATTCATTGTTAGAGTTTTCTGTTTATGTTTTTTTAACGTGTATTTATACTCGCGATGGGGGCGCATTTCAAGAGACAAAAGATTATTGGAAAAACTTCAATTTAATTTCCTATTGCTACATGCACAGTATAGTTGCAAATATATTGCGCAGTTAAAATTAACTTTCCAATTGAATCTTAGAAAATACTTTAAAACTTATGCCATCCATAAAATAACAAATTCTGACTTCGAGTCCTCCTAGCGTAAGTAATGAAAATTGCAACGGCATTGCCAGTATTACAATTAAGAAAGATAATTTAATTGGCTACCTTTTTTAAATGCGTTTTTAATTTCAAAAATTTTCTCCACATGAAAAATTAAAATTAAATATTTGCCGCAAAATGCTTTCAAACTCGGCTCAAGATACTGATTTGATAATATAAAAAAGTTGCATAAGTTCATCATCTATCAATGCTTCAAATATGAAGTTGATTAATAAATTCGTTTTAATTAAATTTTCAATTGGCGCGATTTTATTATAATACTTTAAACAAATTCAAAACATTATAACCTTATCAATAAAATTCAAAACATTTCTCGATTAAAATTAACTAGGATTTTTCAGCACAAGCTCCCTTGATAGGTGCAGCGCCGTTGAACCCTCAATTACATTTAGTCGCATTCAAATATTTTTACATTTTGATAAATTTCAAAACATTCCTCGATCAAAAATAACTAGGATTTTTCAGCACAAGCTCCCTTGACAGGTGCAGCGCCGTGGAATCCAC